GGTGAGTCGAGATCACGCCATTGCACTCCAGCCTGGGTAACAAGAGTGAAACTCTGTCTCAAAAAAAAACACTGTGAGAAAGACAACATGCTCAATTTTCAGTTGAGGAAACTAAAGCTCAGGGATACTGGGTAACAGGCACAGAGTCACAAAGCTTAAACTAAAAACCGGAGTCCGACTGATTCCAAAACCAAGTGCTTTTTAGAACCCTCCTACACTTTCCCAGGTGCCCTTGGCTTTCTTCATAATACAGTCTCTTATTCAGATTCCACAATATGGCCTCTCCACAGAAAGAAGGAAGAAAAGAACATGTTTTGAAGAGTTAGATGTGAGAGTTTCGTGTTGGCACCTGTGAATTTGAAACCCCTTTGAATAAGTCACCTTTGTTGTCATGAGACAGAAAAATAGGCCATACTCTTAAATACAGTTATGAGTTATAGGGTTGTGAATTCTTATAGAGTAATTGGGGATATTTAGGTTTGAGCATTGAAAACAAGTACCACTGCAATTGTCCTGCCTGACTCTAAGGCTACACATAAGATAAAAAACAGATTTACTTTCCAAAGATGTGTTATTACTTTCCTGACTATCAAGATCCACTCTCTTATGTTATATGTAAGTAAAGTTACAATCAAGTGCCATATTATAAATCTGATTTTATTACCAGGAAATGCTCTCAGATGTTAAAGTCCCTGAGGCTATGAACCTGGTGTTGGTGAAAAATGAAAAGCTCACTCAATGAGAAATATGCAGTTGGCCCATGGCATGCATCCCATGACCAGACCACCTCATGCCAGGGAAATGGCCCCACCTTCTGTGATCTGTACCCTGACAGCACCAGAGATAATACACATGGGGTAGCTCCTGCGTGCATCTGATTTTAATGGCTTTCTCTGACAACTTTAAAAATCAGACTTAAATATTTGGGGATATGAATTGGGGCACACCGTTCTTTTCATACTTGGCACCAAAACAGTAGGGATAAATTACATCTATTTTCTGGCTGGTCGTGGTGGCTCACGCTTGTAATCCCAGCACTTTGGGAGGCTGAGGTGGGTGGATCACCTAGGCCAGGGGTTTGAGACCTGGCCAACATGGTGAAACTCCTTCTCTACTAAAAATACAAAAAATTAGCCAGGTGTGGTAGTGCATGCCTGTAGTCCCAGCTACTTGAGAGGCTGAGGCAGGAGAATTGCTTGAACCCGGAAGACAGAGGTTGCAGTGAGCCAAGATTGTGCCATTGCACTCCAGCCTGGGCAACAAGAGTGAAATTCTGCCTCAAAATTTTAAAAAAAAGAAATTACGTCTATTCGTTTTTAAACTATATTTGAGGTTACCATTTAAGGATATTCTTAGAGAAAATTGTTAAACCTCCGTTAAAATATATGTCCTGTATCTTTCTAATCACTATGTTAACATTTATTATAATTCCACCCTTAAACTGTGATAACCCGTGACCATCTTCAATATGTGTGATTGATAAACATTGGCCAGCATCTTTGTCATACTTTGATATTCAGAATGATGGCAATGGCTATGATACTGGCCATCACTGAATGGTGGGAGCATTTGCTCTGGGCCAGGCACTGTTCTAAGCACGTTACACATTTGTTAACTCACAAAAATAAGAGATGGAACTTTAAAAAGTAATCTTTCTGGGGTTTCCTAGTGACTCATAGGCCCTAAGTGAGTAGACACAGGGTAAATATCCCTTATCCAAAGTGCCTGGGACCAGAAGTGTTTCAGATTGTGGATTCTGATTTTGGAATATTTGCATTATATTTACCAGTTGAGCATCCCAAATCGGAACTGCTTTAATTAGCATTTCCTTTGTGTCATGTCAGTGCTCAAAAAGTTTTGGATTTTGAAACATTTCAGATTTTGGGATATGAGATGCTCAAATTGTATTATAGCCTACTTGAATGTTTATTTCCAAAAGAATAATTTTGTTTTTGTTAGGGTTCCTTTTCTTCTATTCATTTAATTCTTTCCCAATCGTGTAATTCCTCTTATTTTGAGATAATTCTCTCATAAACTGAGGCATCATATTTGAGTCATTATAAGAAAGAAAGCACTCAGTCGAAACAGACCATTGTCTGCATTGGGCGTGAGGCTGGTCCTTTGGAGGAGCTGTCTACTGTGAAGCAGATGTGTTAGTTATGTCTCAGTGATGACCGGAGTCAACAAAGGGCTCCATGACTGTAGGGGTTTTGTCCATGGAGTTACTCTACCTGATGACTTTCTGCCCTGCTCCCAAATTAAATACAGAATGACCAAGTAACCCATAATCAAAAACAGTTTGCAGTAAATACAATGTTCTATTTCTTTTTTTTTTCTTTTTTGAGATGCAGTCCTTGTTGCCCAGGCTAGAGTACAGCAGCATGATCTCGGCCCACTGCATCCTCCGCCTCCTGGGTTCAAGCAATTCTCCTGCCTCAGCCTCCTGACTAGCTGGAATTATAGATGTGTGCCACTATGCCCAGCTAATTTTTGTATTTGTAGTAGAGGCGGAATTTTGCCATATTGGCCTGGCTGGTCTCGAACTCTTGACCTCAGGTTATCCGCCCCCCTTAGCCTCCCAAAATGCTGGGATTACAGGCGTGAGTCACCTTGCCCAGCCCAACGCTCTATTTCTAAAAAAGATATCACCGGAATTTACAAAAAAACGTTAATTATTAAGTTGTTCACTTAATTAACAAAAAAAGTCTATGGCAAATGTCATAGACTCAGAGTCCAATGGGGTAGAAAAAGGTTATATTTTCCTTTTCATCCCTCGTCTGAGGGTGTGATATTATGACACACTGTGTTTCTAGATGTATGTACACACATAATATATATATAATGTGTGTGGAAGGGAGGTTTCCATCCAGGGGTCCTGGCTCATTACTCCCATAGTCCTTGTTGTTTCCTAAGGGATTAAAACAACAAGCATATTTTTTGTTGAAGTATTTGGTCTTTTGTCCTTGGTTTCTGAAGCAGATTCAGAGCTTTAAAGGTGAAAGACAGTCTTTTGCTATAATGCTGGGGCACTTTAAGCCTCAGAAAACAGAATCTCTCTCGCTGATCTTCTCCTGCCCTTTTTCACGTACTCCTTTCTCCTTTTTCTCCCCAAGGCAAGGTTCTAATTTTCCCCTGCCTTTCTGCCTTAAGAGCCAGCCATAAAGAAATTCTTTGACCCACCCGATCTGATTAGAAGTCATAAGACTCGCATTTCGGAAGGAGTCCTACTTCCATTCCCTGGAGGAAGGAGCCATGCACAGAGAGGCCAAGAAGAATCCGAACAGATAGGTCTTGTTGGATTTCCTCACTTAGTCTATTAGTATTAGACCATGCCCTTTTTGTTCAGTCACAATTCTATGAGGTTGTCGATCATGCCTATCCAATGGAGCCTCCATAAAAGGCCCACGAGGATGGGGTTCAGAGCACTTCTGGGTAGTGGAACACATGGAGGTTTCCAGGGGATGGTGCACCCAGGGAGGGCATGGAAGTTCCGCTCCACTTCCCATGTGCCTTGCCCTGTACAACTCTTCATCCATGTCTTCTGCAATATCCTTAATAATAAACCGGTGAATGTCTTTTCCTACGTTCTGTGAGCTACTCTAGCAAATTAAACAAACTCAAGGAGTGGGTGATGGGGCCCTGATTTATAGCCAGTCATGCCAGAAGTGTAGCCAATCAGACTGCCTGGGGCTTGTGATTTGCATCTGAAATTGGGGGCACTCTTGGGGACTAAGCACTCACCCTATGGGATCTGACACTATCTCCAGGGATAACGTGAAATTGAATTGGGCTGGAGGATGCCAAGCTGGTGTCTGCTGTGGAAATGACTGACTGGTTGTTGGTAGGGAAAAATTCTCATATACTTCTTGGTGACCAGAGGTCACAAAAGTCTTCTGGGTTGACTATTATCATGTGAGAGGAGGGAAAACAGCTTGTTTTTTCTGCAGGGGACATGGGGGCATTTCTGGGTCCTGATGGTCACTGTCTGTTTAGATTTAGAAACAGTCTCTGGATGGCCAACCCAGATGCCCCCTTGCTCCTGAATGATGGACTGCTTCCTCCTTAAGGGTTAAGATGGTTTTATTCTTCATTATCACTAGGAAAGTGACTGGCTTGAAAGCAAGTGACCAGGGAATAAAGTTACCAACAGAACTGCCTTTGCTGTTCATTGATGATCTGTGACATCTGTGACCTACGCGACCTGATACTTCTTTCTCTCTCTGAAATCAAATTTCCAAAATTCAGATATAAAGACATGTTCCTAGAACTTCATTTCAGCTTTCACAGCCCCTACAATTTTCATTTGAAAAGCCAGCCCAAACACAAAATTAGTTTCCTACACTAGAGAACATAATGATTATAGATGTTTGGAAAAAGGGAGGAAGATGTCCTATAAACACTTAGTTCTGGTTATTCTTTTTCCTTTGTTTGCATGACAGTGACTTTAAAATAACATATAAATAAAAATAAAACCAGAGTTTTGAAAATTGAGCAAGTTGTACATTTGTCATACTGAAAGAAAAAAAAGCATCAGCGCCCTCTTCCAGGTAGATTTTAGTAGAAATTCTTATAATTTCAAGGAACAGGAACCCACTCATACTGGTTCAAGGGCAGGCGGCAGGTGGACAATGTCAAGGGACGGTGTGACTGGCATATTGTGCTGTGGGTGGTTCTGAGGATCGGGGACTCGAGGAGTCGGTCTTACTCTGCCATCTGGGTACATCTGCATGCTCCCTCTCTTCCAGAAGCTTCTTTAGAACAACTCTAAGTGACAAGCCCTCATGGCCCTAGCTTGCCAACACCCCCAAAACTTGAGGTTGCATACTGTCCCTACCCACTTTTTGGTTCCATTGGCTGTGGCCTGAGTGAGGAAGAAACTCTGTGGAAGTGTGGCTACTGCCCCCAGACATGGGTGGGATGGCTTCCCTCAGAAGGAACTGTAGACGCGCCTGCAGTGTGCCTGGCCCTGTGTTTCATTTCTTCTTTTCCTCTGTCTCTAGAAAGAGCTCTTGGAAGAAGTCGGCCGGAATGACAGCCAAGCTCAGATCTCTGTTCAAGTCCACAATGCTACGTGCACAGTGAGGATTGCAGCCGTCACAAAAGGGGGAGTCGGACCCTTCAGTGACCCAGTGAAAATATTTGTCCCTGCGCACGGTGAGAGCTATACCCAGTAAGGGCTGATAGGATGTGGTGGTCCAGGCAGTGCACTGATTGCCAGAAAGTAACCTGGGGGATGGATGGCTGATTAAATAATGAAAAATAAGGCTGGGCTCATCTCAACACTTCGGGAGGCAAAAGCAAGAGGAATTTGAGACTAGCCTGGGCAACATAATGAGACCTTGTCTCTACAGAAAAGATTTTTTTTTTTTTTAATTAGCTGGGCATGATGAATCATGACTGTCATCCCAGCTACTGGGAGGCTGAGGTGGGAGAATTGCTTGAACCCAGGAGGCAGAGGTTGCAGTGAGCTATGATCACACCACTGTAGTCCAGCTAGGTAACAGAGCAAGACCCTGTCTCAAAAAAAAAAAGAAGAAGAAAGGAAAAATAAGAATCAAAAAGAATTTTTCCAATGATAAAGATATGATAACATGCTTTACAGAATAACCAATACCCATGGGTCCCTGCTATAGTTACTATTAATGGTAATAACTTACTTGGAAGGTCAGTCTTTTCAGATGCCAAGCCTGACTTTACTTAATGAACTTAATTGCAATGATGTGTACTGTACATGACTGAATTTTGGACGGGCAATATAGCTAATCCTTAGCTGTTTATCCCAGGGACTGTTTGTTTGCTGGTGCTTGTTTTGCTGTGTTTCAAACAGCACTGCTTTGCCATGTTTTTACCCATTCAATCCTTGGGCAGCACGCTTTGTGCTTTGGTCTGCATAGAACGTGAAATATTTCCTATGGAAGCCATCCTCAGCCTGTCCTGGGCCCACTGAGCTAAATGCCCAGCCATGTGTTGGCTTTTGCATGTTGCTGAAATGCCCTTTGGCACAGTGCCACTGTGGTACCCCAGGTGACTCAAGTGCTGTGCTCACTCAATAACCCAATGGAGCCACCTTTGTTCTGATTCTGACCTGCCCTAGGTTGTTTAATGTTAAACTGCTGTCATAAAGTCCATCCATAGACACCTAGATCAGTGCGTTTATACATTAAGTTCTTGCCAAACATGACCTTTGTACTCGATAGCAGACAGAACTTGTGAGCAGACGTTTGAGTTCCCATGTGTCTGTTCCCAGTGACCCTCAAACTCGGTCTCCCTTTTGGTGCTGAAATGGAACCATATTAGGTTCCTGTAGCCCATAGGCACAGTTTCTGGGGAACATTAGTAACTGGTGATGGGGAGGCAAGATGTGTCTACCTGGTAGAAATTCAAAGACAGTGAGATTCTGGCCAGGCGTGGTGAGTCACGCCTGTAGTTCACCACTTTGGGAGGCCAAGGCAGGCAGATATATTGAATTCAAGAGCTCAAGATCAGCCTAGCCAACATGGTGAAACCCCATCTCTATCAAAAATAACAACAAAAATTAACAGGGTGTGGTGGCATGCGCCTGTGGGTCCCAGCTACTTGGGAGGATCTCTTGAGCCCAGAAGATGGAGATTGCAGTAAACCAAGATCATGCCACTGTACTCCTGCCTGGGTGACAGAGTGAGACCCCATCTCAAAACAAAATAAAATAAAACAAAACCAAAAAAGAACAAAGACAGTAAAATTCTGATTCTAAAGGGACAGCTTAAAAATATAAGAGTTTAGGCAGGGCGCAGTGGCTCATGCCTATAATCTCAGCACTTTGGGAGTGTGAGGTGGGCAGATGCCTTAAGGTCAGGAGTCCCAGACCAACCTGGCCAACATGGTAAAACCTTGTTTGCTATGCAGGCAGTCCTTACCTTGCATGGCTCCAGTATGCACAAATTTCAATTACCACGGTTAAATAATAGCCGTTCCCCAAAAATATAGTTCAAATTTTAGTCACTATTCTATATTAACTGTAATGGCATAAAGCATAAACTCCGGCTGCTGGCTCTTCAGACCACCAATCGCTGTAGAAATAACAGATGAACATCACAATCACGACCAATGGCGTCACTTCTTCCAAAGTCTGTTGTGATTGGTCCCTGAGCTTTTGTCACTCATTTTGTGCCCACCTAGCAGAGGCATGTGGCTGTGTTGCCTCCTTGTCTCCCAGGGACAAACCCACATGACATTTAATAAAAATGTGTTATTGAAAGAGGGTATTGGTGAACAAAGGTAAAAGTGCAGCAAAGAAACGCACAATAAGTGGTTGACGTAAAATTTGAATTGAACGTAAAATTCGAATTGAACGTAAAACTGGAAAGTTGATACTGCCCCCACTGATAAACTTTAGGTATGAACCAGAGGTCCTTAGTGAAGGTGAACTAATATTTTTCATTTACTTGTACATGTATAATTGACATGAATTTTCTCACTGATTTTTAAATTACTGTGTTTAATTAACAATTGAAAAATTGTGTATACCTATGGAGTACAATGTGACATTTTGATCTATGTTTATGTTGTGGAATGAGTAAATCAAGCTAGTTTCCCATCGATTATTAAGATCTCTTTGGATGATCTCAGCTTACACAAAGTGAGGCCTGCCTACATTTGTAGATTATAAAAGATTTAACTGAGTTCTGAAAGCTTTGACAATTTGTTCTTCCCTATTACAAGCCAGTGTTTCTCGTGTTATTTCAAACCCATGATTGGTCTATTGGTATTTTTCCAGGTTGGGTAGATTATGCCCCCTCATCAACTCCGGCGCCTGGCAACACAGATCCTGTGCTCATCATCTTTGGCTGCTTTTGTGGATTTATTTTGATTGGGTTGGTTTTATACATCTCTATGGCCATCAGAAAAAGAATCCAGGAGACAAAGTTTGGGTAAGTCTCCCAGCTAAAAATGTTTGCCCAGTGATACCACTGGTTGAACTCCTGACAAGGTTGTTACACCAAGTTATTATGCCTTTCCTGTTGTCCTTGCTGCTCACATTGCTCCCAGATGGCTGTCCTGCCTGATGCATATCCTGGGCTTAGGCAGCTTCCTGACTTAGGCCATGGCCTACAGAGGCAGCTGCCAGCAAAAGCCAGCCCTGAAAAGGATTCTTTTACAGAAAGAGTATAGTAGGCCTTTGCTACTCAAACTGGGTTGCTGTTAAGTGAGGACTTTTATTAGAAGCCTTAAAAATAGGCCAAATGCTGTGGCTCACACCTGTAATCCCACCACTTTGGGAGGCTGAGATGGGAAGATCACTTGAGGTCAGGAAATTGAGACCAGACTGGCCAACATGGCGAAACCTCGTCTCTTCAGAAAATACGAAAATTAGCTGGGCATGATGGCACATGCCTGTAATCCCAGCTACTCGAGAGGCCGAGGCACAGGAATTGCTTGAACCCAGGAGGCAGAGACTGCAGTGAGCTATTGCGCTACTGTACTCCAGCCTGGGTGACAGAGCGAGACCTTGTCTCAGAAAAAAAAAATAAATAATGCTGATTATTTTTCTTCAACGTATATATAGATAAAGATATGGGGAGGAAATTCACCAAAGTAATAGCAACTGTGGCTAGTATTATTGTGGGTGACTCTGTTTTGTTGTTGTTGTATTTTGCACATGTCCTATAATGATTATTTTTCTAACAGGGACAAAGTTTATATTTTAACATTCAAATGAGAAGAAAGATCTCTTGTTCACATTTTCTATGCATTTTACTTTTATAATAAAACACTAATTAAATATCAGTGAAAATGAGAAGCTGTGTTAAAGCAACCTAATGAAAAGAAGGCTGTGTATAAATGTTGTTTCTGGAACTCAGTTTTCTGCTGCAGGGTTCTGGAAGCAAATTTGGATTTCCATGAAATCAAATTTATCATTAATGAGTGAGGAGGAAGCATTTTGTATGAGATAAATTGTTGGCAGGTTAGAGCGGGACAGAATGAGTGAGGGGTGTATGGCTGTGCTTTGGAGGGGGCTAAGCAGCCCTCTTTCATTGTTCCACCTTCAGAATGCTACTAGAACATCCCACTAACTCCAACACTTGCGTTAGGCATGGGAAGGGGCTTAAGATTGGCAGCCAGGCTGCCCTTTATTTGTGTTCATCCCTGTCTTAGGGGTCAGTTACTTTAGTCCTTACAAGCCTATTCTTATAATTATTATATCTTAGTATGTGAATTCTAAGAATGACTATTTTAAAGAAGTAGACAAAATCTGATCTAAATCTTGAACATATAATTGACTAAAATACATCCCAGTGTCTTGGTGTGACATGTAGGCTCATCACAAAACAAGTACAGAGAACCTCTGCAGAAGTTGCAAGAGTAGCTCATTAATATGTATTAAAGGCCTGCTAGGCACTGGGCACTGAGGTGGACTGGAATACAGTGGTGAATAAAATCCTGCCCTCATGTGGTTCACAGTTTATGGGGAGTCAGGCAGTAGTCAAGCAGTCACAAAAATAGACTTAAAATGGCAACTGTAATAAATTCTATATAAAGGGTTATGAATGTGTCTGAAAAATTTGACTGCATTAAGAAAGTCAGGGAAGGCTTTCATGCAGAAGTGGCTGACACTTGAGCTAAGATCTGAAGAAAGAGCAGGTATTCATTAGATGAGAGAGAAGAGCATCCCAGCCGGAAAGAGCAGCACATGCAAAAGCTGTATGATACTTGGGGTCTGGCAGGAGGAGAGAGCACTGGATTGAAAGTTGTTAATTCGTTCACTGGGTTCCAGCATTAATTCTACCAGTTTGACTAGCCTTTTAACTTTTCCAAGCTTCCTTGATATTATCTGTCTCTGAATAGTCTCCGTGGTCACTACCAGTTCTAAATGCTATGATTCTGAATTGGGACTTCTATAGACTCACTCCGTCATTAAAATATACTGAGTCTCTTAAGATGTTGACATCTTTAAGCATTCAGAACGAATGCAGTTTTTGTCATCAAGTGGAAATTCATGGTCAGCATTGTTGAAACAGTCACTGTTACAGAATGATTCATAAATATATTTGCTTGAAACTAACCAGACAGAATCAGAAAAATGAAGGCAAAGCTTCTATGGAGGTTCCAAATTTCGATGGGGACTGGTAAATCCTCCTAGAATGTGCAACTAAGGTAATCCCGGAGGGCTGGAGTGCAGTAGCCAAGGGATGCACATTACCTTTTGAAACCTTTGCCAAGAGTTTTAGGAACTGTATATAGCAATGCTGATCTTCCCAGCTCCCAGGAATCAATTACCTTTCTGCTTCTTCTGAAGTCTTTCTTTGGTTCCCTCCTTTTTGGCTTTCCTTTAGGAAAAAAATTTTTTTTGTTGTTTAGAATATTATATATCATTTTGACTCTAGTTTAAAAATACATTAAAGACAACATGCTGGGATGAGACCCCATTCACAGCAGCATAAAAACTATAACATTCCTGAGAATAAACCCAATAGATGTGCAAGAGCTTTGTAGAAAAAAAGCATTAAACTTCCTGATAGTGTTAAAGAAGAATAAATTGACAGATGTGTACCATGTTCATGGATGGGAAGGCTCAATATTCTCAAAAGAAGAAGTTTCCCTAAGTTTACCATAAATTCAATAATCACCATCACAATTGGTTCTTGAGAAAAGTTGGCAAATTGATTTGAAAATATATGGGCTGGGCGTGGTGGCTCACCCCTGTAATCCCAGCACTTTGGGAGGCCAAGGCAGGCAGATCATGAGGTCAGGAGATTGAGACCATCCTGGCTAACACGGCAAAAACCCATCTCTACTACAAATACAAAAAGTTAGCCGGGCATGGTGGTGTGCATCTGTAGTCCCAGCTACTTGGGAGGCTGAGGCAGGAGAATCACTTGAACCTGGGAGGCGGAGGTTGCAGGGAGCTGAGATTGCACCACTGCACTCCAGCCTGGGTAGCAGAGTGAGACTCCAACTCAAAAAAAAGAAAAAAGAAAAAAAATATGTGAAAGAGTAAATGTGTAGGAATAGCCAAGACAGTTTTGAAAAACACAAAAATTTCAGTGTAGGGAGCTGGTTCTCCTAGACACAAAAACCTAATTTAGTGATTAGGGCAGTGAGGTATTGGTACAAACAGAAAAAACTCAGTTTGTGAGCAGCACAGGATGTTCATGTATAGGGCACTTTTAGGAACTGAATATAGGATGAATATAGGATCGCATTCCAAATCTGGAGAAATAAAAGAATGTTCAAAAAATTGACCCATTAGCTGGGAATCATGGTGCATACCTGTAGTCCCAGTTTTTCTGGAGGCTGAGGTGGGAGGACTGTGAAAGCCCGGGAGGCTGAGGTTGCAACGAGCCAAGATCACACCACTGCACTCCAGCCCGGGCAACAGAGCAAGCCCCTGTCTCAAACAAACAAACACTTTGTTCTAGGCACTGGATAGAGAGAAATGAGCAAGACATGCATGAGGCTGTCCACTTGAAGCTTATAGCCTAGCTGTTGAGAAATGCAGAAGAAAATGCTTCATGTGAAAATATTCCATCAGCTGGGTCTCTACTAACTCATAAGTTTAGCACCAAAATGGATCGTAGATATTATTTGATTCAACCCTGATTATAATAATCTGGGAAAGTTTGAGGTTGAACATTATAAAATTTACCAAAAAGTGGGGGTGCTGAGTACAGCAAATATATTAACAAGATTAAAATACTATTTCAAATATTTAGAAATAAACGATTTCCAGGAACCATTAAGCTCAGCAGAAGCTTAAAACAAATGAAAGACTTGTAACAGGTTATTTTTGTCTATACTGAAGTCCATTTCCCATGGATCCTTACTATAAGATCTATTCATTTGTTCCTTTTGTAAAAACACCTTCCTGCTCATTTTTAAATGAAAATGCTTTTATTTTTATTTATAAAAGTGAAAATATAAAAGTAACATTGTATTTTTTAAAAATCAGATGATATAGAATAGTCAAAAGGAGAAAGTGAGGCCCATCTCAGGCCCATATATGGGTCTTGGTTGCTATTTTGGCACACATTCTTTCAAGTGCTTTGCTTTGTGTACATAAATATTTTTTTCAAAATTCTGTTATCTCTTTAAAATAATCTATGTACCTAAGGTAAATTGAGATTAAATCTGTAGGCCAGGCGCGGTGGCTCATGCCTATAATTCCAGCACTTTGGGAGGCTGAGGCAGGTGGATCACCTGAGGTCAAGAGTTCAAGACCAACTTGATCAACATGGTGAAACTTTGTCTCTCAAAAAAAAAAAAAAAAATAGCCAGGCATTGGTGCATGCCCGTATTCCCTGCTACTCAGGAGGCTGAGGCAGGAGAATCACTTGAACTCAGGAGGTGGAGGTTGCAGTGAGCCAAAATTGCTCCATTGCACACCAGCCTGGGCAACAAGTGCAAAACTCCATCTCAAAAGCAAAAAAAAAAAAAAAATCTGTAATCTAGACTTTCTAATTCATAATACTTTCCCACCAATTAGTCTAAAATGGTGACTACATTGATTATTAAAATAGACTTCATTTTTAAAATTGATTTATTTTTTTGACACAAGGTCTTGCTCTGTTGCCAGGCTGGAGTGTGGTGGTGCAGTCATGGCTCACTGCAACCTCAACCTTCAGAACCCATGTGATCCTCTCATCTCTGCCTCCCAGTTAGCTGGGACCGCAGGCACACATTACCACATCCAGCTAATTTTTTTATTTTTGTAGAGATGGGGGTGTCACTTTGTTGCCCCGGCTGGTTTTGAACTCCTCTGGACTCAAATGATCTTCCTGCCTCAGCCTCCCAAAGTGCTAGGATTATAGGCATGAGTCACCGTGCCCAGGCTTATTTTTTAGAACAGTTTTAATTTTACAGAAATATTGAGAAGATAGTACAGAGACTTCTCATATACTCCATACCTACTTTCCCCTATTATTAACAGCTTACATGATTAGTACATTTGTTACGGTTAATGAGCCAATGTTGATACATTGTCATTAACTAACATCTATACTTTCTTGAGATTTCCTTAATTTTTACCTAATGTCCCTTTTCTGTTCTGGGATCCCATAAGGATGCCACGGTACATTCAGTCTTCACATCTCCTTAGGCTCCTCTTGGCTGTGGCTGTTTCTTAGACCTTCCTTGTCTTTGATGATCTTGCCAGTTTTCACAAGTGTTAGATGTTTTGTGGGATGCCCTTCTATTGCAATTTTTTCAATGTTTTGCTCATAATGAGCATGGGTTATGGGTGATTGAGAGGAAGTGCACAGAATTAAAGTGCCATTGTCATCACATCTTATCAAGGGTCCATATTAACATGATTTATCACTGTTGATGTTGACGTTGATCACCTGGCTGAAGCAGTGTTTGCCGGTTTCTCTACCATGAAGTTATTTTTCCTTCCTTTCCTTTGGAAACAAGTCACTATGCATAGCCCACACTGAGAGCATGAGGATTTAACTCCCTTCACCCCTTAAGGGCACAATAACTACAGAAAATATTTGGAATTCTTCTAAATAGGAGATTGGTATCTTTTCCATTTCGTCATTCATTCAATCATATTTTCATAAGTGTGGCCTCATTGATATTCATCTTATACTCATAGTCTAGTACTACTTTAGTTTCTTGCTCAGATTGTTACAGCATTGGCCATTAGGAGCTTATCTGTTATTCTCTGGTCTTGATGGTGCCTAGCTAGAGTAGTTCGATATTGCCAAGTGAGTCTAAAATAAATCAAAGAAAGAAATGCATTTCTCCTAGGGGGAAAGTTTTGTTGTAGAAGAGCCTGTTGAAAAGGGTCCGCTCTGTAGCATCCTTGTGGAATCAGTGTCTGCCCCTGTAGCCCTGTTCTTATAGTGAAGTGTCTTTGTTTTCATTCACCCAGGAATGCATTCAAAGAGGAGGATTCTGAATTAGTGGTAAATTATATAGCAAAGAAGTCCTTCTGTCGGCGAGCCATTGAACTTACCTGTAAGTTGACTTTCATTTCCCTTTTTGGCAAAAGTTCAAATAGTTGAGAACAAAGAAAGAACAATAGACAGATTTCTAACAAAAACCAAAGGTATTGAAGAAGAATGGTTATTTTTAATGTACAAAATGTGTTTAGAAACCAGCAAGTAGATAGTCAGACATTGCCATGCACAGCTCTGTGGGCTAATTTACTGGAATCTGGAGCTGGACCTGGGGTTAAAAGGACTCATAATGTCATGAAATGTGACAGAAAAGAGGAACTTTCTGGGGTGACATAAGATGGGTAGAGGTCAGGGATTTAAAGAAAACTTCTAACTAGCAGACATAACCTCAAGCCTCATTCCTGTTTTCTTGGCAACCAACTCTGAGAATGATTTGCCAACATCCTTTGTAGCAATTATGGTTTGAGCTTTGCTGAATCAGAGTGAAGGCTTCTGGGTTAAACAGTAGAAATAAACAGATACTAGTGTTCCTGAATAATTTCAGAAAAAGTATAGAAAGGATATGCAAATATTAACAACAAATTCATACTTCTGGATATTTTCCCCCAATAAAGAAAAGACATAAGAATGATGGAATACAGGTTGCTATGAAATATAAACTTGCTTGGTGTGGATATTATTAATTTCTTTACTTTTCTAATCTTTAAGTTTTGACTTTTGATATCCTCAATTTTTTTTTTAATTTAAAATTTGTCATTTAGACCACTTTCTTTCCTTTATTGGAGAACCACTGGATAAAATTTTTTCTCTGAGAACTAATGTGTCCTTCTAATTATCCACATTTTTTGTCTCTCAAGAGCTTATACATGCCTTAACTATGGTCCAGACTGAATCATTTGCCAAGAGTTGTTGAACTGGTCTCCTTCTGATTAATTTCTCTTGCTGCCAACACATCTATTATATAGATACCTTACTGTATTACATATCTTATTATAGAAGAGCTTATTCTCCAGTTCCTCAAAGTGCTCAATTTGGCCCTTGCTGTGCTGTTATAATGAGATTTCATGTACAGTATGTGAAATAAGAGCTTGTTCTCTAGATGTTTCCTGGGGTTTGTGAGACTCCGTCCATAGCATAGGAGGGTAGGAGAGGTATGGTTCTTTTGTATACTATAGTTAGGGGTATAATATTAATAGTAAAGAATTCACTGGAAAGTACCTATTGACTTATCTTTCTTACCCCTTTAAGTCAAGGACAAACCACCCCATATGAATCTGATTGCTGGCTGCTGCTACCACACAACAGAAAGAGAGATGTGGCTCTGATTTTTCTAATTCTTCAGAATTAACCTTGCCCTGAAGGATTCATTATACTTAGTTTAATCATAATAAAGTATGAAGTTTTATTACTGGTGTTTTGGGGAGAGAAATAATAGATACAAAATGAAAAAAAAGGGGCGGGCACAGTGGCTCATGCCTGTAATCCCAGCAATTTGGGAGGCTGAGGTGGGCAGATAACTTGAGGTCAGGAGTTCGAGACCAGCTTGGCCAACTGGTGAAACCTTATCTCTACTAAAAATACAAAAATTAGCTGGATGTAGCATGGGCCTGCAGGCACGGAGGCTGAGGCACAAGAATCACTTGAACCTAGGAGGCGAAGGTTGCAGTGAGATGAGATTGCACCACTGCAATCCAGCCTGGGTGACAGAGTAAGACTCCGTCTCAAAAAATAAATAAATAGATAAATAAATTAAATAAATGAAAAAGAAATATTTATTATATAGGACTTTATTTCATTTTAATTATCAAATGAAAGAAAGCATGTGGAGAATTTTTATATATAGTATGTTACTCCTTTTTCAGTACGTAGCTTGGGAGTCAGTGAGGAACTACAAAACAAACTAGAAGATGTTGTGATTGACAGGAATCTTCTAATTCTTGGAAAAATTCTGGGTGAAGGTAAGCAGTTTAAAGTAATGCCTTTAAAATGTGGGATAAGAAGGTAAGCAGTTTAGAATACTTTTTAACGTGTATTTATTAAATAAAATACCATTTTAGGACTCTGTGTTATACTGTGGATCATTACATTTTATTATTTGAAATGGTAGACTACTGATTTTTGAAACTCAAATCCGGCAAATGAAGATTCTCTTCAATGCCTAGCACACACAGTAGGTCCTTGAAAAATATTAATTTTCTTTTCTCATTGAAAGCATGTACTTCATTGATTAGCTTCCTATGTACTTTAAATTTATTCCTCTAGTTCTTAAGTTTATTATTATTGGCACCTTTCTAATTAGGAACAAAAATGAAAATACATATTTAACTATTAAGTTGTTTTTAGGATGAATGATAATGGTATTAAGAGTTTGTGCATGGCCGGGCGCGGTGGCTCAAGCCTGTAACCCCAGCACTTTGGGAGGCCGAGGCGGGTGGATCACGAGGTCAAGAGATCGAGACCATCCTGGTCAACATGGTGAAACCCCGTCTCTACTAAAAATACAAAAAATTAGCTGGGCATGGTGGCACGTGCCTGTAATCCCAGCTACTCAGGAGGCTGAGGCAGGAGAATTGCCTGAACCCAGGAGACGGAGGTTGCGGTGAGCCGAGATCGCGCCATTGCACTCCAGCCTGGGTAACAAGAGCGAAACTCCGTCTCAAAAAAAAAAAAAAAAGAGTTTGTGCTTTAAAAACTTCAATAATATTTTTCATGTTCTCCTCTAAGTGTCTTGGATAGGTTATAATGCTTAATAAAGTGGTGAGCTAAGGTAGACCCAAGCCACCCAAGCTCATGACAAGCAGGAGACTAGAGCATGGCGCATGGCCGTGGTTGCAATGTGGGTGGCCTGGCAGGCTCTGCCTGGCTACCTGTGGGTGAATTGCTCTCATACCATGAAACCAGCAGCTCTAGCACTATAGCATTTCTGTGGTCAGGGGAGAATTTGCCCAGTGTCCATATAGATGTTCTTTTACTTCACAGGAGAGTTTGGGTCTGTAATGGAAGGAAATCTTAAGCAGCAAGATGGAACCTCTCAGAAAGTGGCAGTGAAGACCATGAAGTGTGAGTTATCAATGATGAATGCCATTCTTCTGGGGTAGGCAGTTACTTCAGTATTGGGTGCTCCATGAGGCCATATGTCACAATCTCAGTTGCCAGCAGGTCAGAAGGCAATGTGGAACACAGGTCACCAAGGAGGTATTACTATAATGAGCTCCTCATGCATGCATTACGTATTCTTTATACTCAAGGCAGCAACATTTTTTACTATTGCTAACTCTAGCATGCCTATGCATGCATTCTCTCTGTCTTGCTCATTCTTCCTTTCTCCCTCTCTCTCTTCTTATCTAGTAGAGCTCACAACTCTAAAGTAGAGCATGAATTGCCGAGGCAGGGGTGATCTGATGGCAACATCTGACCACAGGGGTTGGTCTGGCTGACCTGTCTATTGTGGTGGAACCACTTCCTCATTTGAATGGCCCTGAAGAAGCTGTGGGCTGCCTGGAAAGTAAATTTTCCAAAAAAGAGGATAAATATGTGGTCAAGACATATAAAGATTTGCTATCATAAGCTAGAACTTCCAAGCAAGCTGGGAAGAGAGCCAGCAGCGGGGCAGGGAGGGCCTTCTAAGTCATAGTCAAGATCCTACTTTATCCTGCAAGAAGTAGAGCGCTAGCTATTAAGAGTCTTAATCAAATGAGGAACAGAGCAGTTTACATTTCCAGAAAGTTCACTTTGGTGTCAGTGTGAAGAAAACAAATTACAGTGTTGACAAAAGTAGTGGTAGAAAGGCCAGTTAGGACATTTTAAAATTTGTATAGTCTAGGCCCTCTCAAATCCTTTTTTTTAAAAAATTGAGACAGAGTCTCACTCTGTCACACAGGCTGGAGTGCAGTGGCACCATCTTGGCTCACTGCAACCTCCAGCTCCTGGGTTCAAGCAATTCTCCCACCTCAGCGTCCCCAGTAGTTGGGATAACAGGCACCTACCACCAGGCTCAGCTAATTTTTGAATTTTTAGTAGAAATGGGGTTTCGCCATGTTGGCCAGGCTGGTCTTGAACCCCTGACCTCAAATCATCCGCCTGCCTCGGCTTCCCAAAGTGCTGGGATTACAGCATCGTGCCCGGCCTAAAATCTATATAGGTAAAGAAGCTATAGGGATTTGCTGACTTGTCTAATTGAAATAGCTAGAAAGGGGGCAGATTGTGCTGAACTTCTTTATCACCATAAGATGACCAGATTTCACTGACAGAGCAAGCTGGCATTTCCTCTCCATGTCCTTCTCCTAGGAAATGCATTTCTGAATCTGGGGCCATACAACTGTCTATGTTTGATTCTGTAGGTGTCTGGCTGGTCATGGCCTGTCACTGAGGGATTTGGAAAATAGACCATTGTCATGTGGCATTTCACCCACAGTCTTCATCACGAATCATGGATGGAAATTATTTGGTGCTCAGTTTGTCAATAATCTTGATGTTGCTTCCTTATTAATCCCTTTTACCTATTCAATATTATTTTTGATCAGGGAATAAAGTAAAATTGGATTCTTCCTAAAATTTAAATCTACTATTTACTGGACATTAAAGCATAAGTTAGATTATAAGCATGTACTGAGACTCTTAAATGAAAAGGCTAAAGTTTATTTATTTTTTTCTTTTTGAGACAGAGTCTTGCTCTGTTGCCCAGGCTGGAGTGCAGTGGCGTGATCTCGGCTCACTGCAACCTCTGCCTCCCAGGTTCAAGCAATTCTCCTGCCTCAGCCTCCCAAGTAGCTGGGACTATAGGCATGCGCCACCATGCCCGCCATGCCTGGCTAATTTTTGTATTTTTTGTAGAGACAGGGTTTCACCATGTTGGCCAGGCTGATCTTGAACTCCTGGCCTCAAGTAATCCACCCACCTCGGCCTCCCAAAGTGCTGGGATTACAGGTGTGAGCCACCATGACTGGCCTAGAGGCTGAAACTTAATTCAGTTATAAAAAGGAACCACAATAACAAACAAGTCATATGAACGGTGCTTTTTGCTTTTTAAGCAGTCTGTAATGACTAATATTTATGTGATACTCATTGTTAGCCAAAGGGCATTGCAATTATTCCTGCATTTCATCAGAACAACAGGAACAGAAAATGAACATGACTAAAAAGGATGTTGAGGAACTAGCCTCCAGATACTAAAACACCCTGAAGTTAGAATACTCACCGGAGCTGAACCAAGTACTGAGCCATATTCTGCACCATTCCTGCCTCTTGTATGATTTTATTTGAGCCTCACAGTGTGTCTGGGGGGAGTCCTTTCATGATCCCTATTTAGGGATATAAGGCAGGCATATTAGGAGGCCTGGTGAGAGGAGCTGAGCCTGGAACCTACTTTTTCTCTGGCTTGATTCTGCTGTTCTTTAATTTCATTACGGTAACTTGCATAGGGATTATGTCCCTGCTAATTGTTAAAGATTAAGAGAATAATCTGTAGCTTCAAAATCCCCAGGCTCAGCTACATCTACCCGCGGGTTGGTCCCCCAGGGAAGGGTCTGCAGGCAGAGCCCTACCACTCTATTTCCCCATGTGGTTGTTTGCAGCAAAAGGAATAAGTGAGAACAAATTTTTGCAGGTGTCTAGATTTTTTTTTTAATTAGAAAATTTTTAAATTTTTTCTAAATTTTCTTCAGTAGAAAGAAGATTAATATATACTGAGCCCATAGGATGGTAGACACGCTGAATTAGATGGCCTCATGCATGATTTCAATCATAGTTATACTCTGTTACAGCAAACTCCCTAAGGCAAGCTTGACTTTTTGTTTTGTTTGTCTGTTTTTAATTGTGGCAACATATACATAACATAAAATTTACCATCTTAACCATTCAAGTGTGCAATTCAGTGGTATTAAGAACCATATTCATAATGTTATACGACTATCACTACCATCTCCAAAACTTTTCATCTTGTAAAACTGCAACTCTACACCTACCAAGCAATGACTACCCACTACCCTCTCTCCCCAGCCTTGGCAACCACTATTCTATTTTCTGTCTCTGATTTTGACCCTCTAGGTACTTCATATAAGTGGAATCATACAGTATCCATCCTTTTGTGACTGGCTTATTGCGTTTAGCAAAATATTAGAATTTTAAATGTCTCTCTTGAGCCAATTTAGTTCAAAAAATGGTATAAAAGCGCATCCAGCTCACGAGGTGTGGTTCAACAACCAGACTTGCAGGATATAAACCAATAGGAAGGGAAAGGTGTGGGGTTCCTTCTTTCTTTCTTTTTTTTTTTTTAAGCAAATATAAGTGCAGCAGATTGGTTAGAATTGTCCTTTGTTTTGGTTTTGGTTTTGGGGTACTTTTTTCCTTTACCATTAAACTTTAACTGTTTAGAGCAGTTCAGGTTTGCAGAAAAGTACAGAGAATGTCCATAGGTGCCCTCCTAACATACACAATTTCTCCTATTATTAATGTCTTTTATTAATGAGCTGCATTTTTTGTGATTGAAGAACTCATACTGATACATTGTTATTAACCAGAGTCTATAGTTTACATTAGGGTTCATTCTTAGTGTTGTACAGCTCTGTGGGTTTGGACAAATGTGTAATGTCATGCATCCACTATTACAGTATCATATAGAATAACTTCTTGGCCCTAAAAGTCCCCCGTGCTTTGCCTGTTTGTCCCTCTCTTCTCTCCCCCTGCCCCTACTAGCCCCTGACAACCACTCATCTGTTTCCTGTCTCAATAGTTTCATCTCTTCCTGACCTAAGTTTGAGAGAACAGAATTGCTGTTGCCCACCCCCTCCCCTTAATTGAGTAAATTATCCATACCTAATCTTTTCTATTTTCTCCTTTAGTGGACAACTTTTCGCAGCGGGAGATCGAGGATTTTCTCAGTGAGGCAGCGTGCATGAAAGATTTCAGTCATCCAAATGTCATTCGACTTCTAGGTACTTCTGAGAAATGCGGGAGTGGGTGGCCAAGGGGACTCTGCTGATATGCTCTGTGCCAAAGGAAAAAAAATCTCTGGTGTAAATTAGTTTACACTTTGTATAACCCCAACATAATATGTAACATTGAGGTTTTCACCAGGACTTCTCTTCATAAGGATGTTTTCTGAGGCTGACAGTAATAATGAGTTTGCATTTTCTGGACACTGATGGGCTCAGGAATGATTTGAGTTTTCCACAGAATTCTAGGAGAATATGAATTAAATTGCTCTCAGTTACTCAAAGGCAAGACACAGAGGTGGTCATGTTATAATTTTTATTAATTAAACGTTATACGTGAGTTAGATAGCAGTGGGATAAAGCTGGAAAAGTAGGCAAATTCCATAGGTTATCTTTGAGAAATAATTTATTAACCTATTTGAAAGTACTGACTTCTTTTTTCTTTTTCTTTTTCTTTTTTTTTGAGACAGATTTTCACTCTTATTGCCCAGGCTGGAGTGCAATGGCTTGATCTCAGCTTACCGCAGCCTCTGCCTCCGCAGTTCAAGCAATTCTCCTGCCTCAGCCTCCAGCAGTAGCTGGGATTACAGGCATGCGCCGCCACACCCAGCTAATTTTGTATTTTTAGTAGAGACAGGGTGTCTCCATGTTGTCAGGCTGGTCTCGAAATCCCGACCTCAGGTGATCCGCCCACCTCAGCCTCCCAAAGTGCTGGGATTACAGGCATGAGCCACCGTGCCCAACCAAAAGTACTGATTTCTTAAGATTTTGGTACATTGATGATTTCATGGAATTGATTTAACAGTTGCATAGAATGTGAGTTAATGTAATTTGGCTTTGCAACTCCATTAGCTAAAAAATGCAAAGAAGGAGATGAAGTATCAAGTGGATGCTGTCCCAAGAGAGAAGAGCAACCTGGAAATAAGCGAATTTTCTGCTGACCTTGGTTTTTTGGTTCTTGTTTTGCCATCCTGTGACTGGATACATACTGACTAAATTCTTTTGAGATCTTTCAAAGTTTTATATGATTGACACTGCAGAGAGATGTGAAAATCAATGTTTGTATACAGTATTATGTCAAATCAACTACTGTTATTCATTCACTGCTATTGGCTTAGCTGACTATGAGAACAGTGGCACTTTGTGATCTCAACACAGAGTGCAGGAGCTTTTCAAGTTTGGGATCAGGTGACAGCGTTTGGCTCTCAGGTTCCATGATAAATGATATTGTAGCTTCTCCTTTATAAAACTGTTAAAATTTAGGGATGCCAATTTTTATCTATAGGCCTTCAAAGTTATTTTAATAGTTTAAGCATTTGCAGTGGACTTCTTCATATGATTAAATAGCTATCACATGAAACAAGTTCGCCCTTGAATCTTATGGGGTCACCCCTCAGACTCAGCCTAACAGAAATTCCTAGGTTTCTAGGTGGCTATACTTGTTACAGTTTGATTTGTGAGAGCCCTCGTGCCCTCATTAATCTGAAAGGAGTGGGGAAAAACAAGTAGTGGACGCTGCGTATGTTTCATTTTGTAGAACAGAGTGTGAGAGGAGCTCTTGGTTATTTTAATTGTTAACACATAGTGTCAGTTTGGCCAGTGGTCCTCCAGGGCTTTTCTGTTCACACTAACAAGGGCTCTTTGTAACTGATTCTGTGTTTGTAATTTCAGGTGTATGTATAGAAATGAGCTCTCAAGGCATCCCGAAGCCCATGGTAATTTTACCCTTCATGAAATATGGGGACCTGCATACTTACTTACTTTATTCCCGATTGGACACAGGACCAAAGGTAATGATCTTCTTGTATTACCTCTGAATGCTTCTCAGGGCTTGTGTGACTTAGCCAGGACAACCAAATCATCTAATCTTGAAAGTGAAGCCAGGAAGGAGAGGACTTTGACCTTTGTTCAGTACTCCCTGTGTGTCCAGGGACTGAAATGTGGTGTCTGTCCTCACAGCAGGCCTGTTCCAGATATTATTACTCCTGCTTTATGCTGGGGCAAAGTGGCGGTGCATACAGTCTTATGGACAAAGCCTTACCAACTTGAGTTGGGTGACCCAAGCTCCAGGTTCGGCAGTTCATACCCCTCATGGCCACATAATCCCCAGAGCTCGCAGACCATGGGAAGGCCATTAAAGATGGCTCTCCCAAAAGAAATTTTACAGAGCTCATTCTGGAGTTCACAGATGTCAACCTTTGAAGAAGTGTGGATGAGCCAAAAGGACTGTACAACTGACGTTCTGAAAAATGTTTGCAATATTTTTCTCCCTATGTTGACTTACCTACCATGAGCACTGTGAAGTCCTGGTGATTTTGGATGTAGCTGTAGAGGCAATTATGGATCATCTAGGAAATTTAGAACCACGGACAGGCTTGCCTTTCTTCAGAGTCAATTTTTAGTATTGATGTCAAGGGTTGTAGAGTTAAGGAATCATAGCCACTGGGGACGTTGTGTTTTTAATTTCCTGGGCCCCTTTATCTGAAATGAAAACAGTATCCTCCTGTCATGTTTTGTGGACAGATGGTAGACTGTGAGCAGGAGGTGTGAGCGTGTCCTGACTACATGCCTGGCTGAGCAGCACGCCCTTCCTGCCTTTCACGCACCTTCTGTGTCTGTTGGAGGAGACAGTGATCCTGCAGGGTTCTGGTTGGGACACGTGTGGGAACAGTGTGTGGCTGGCCTCTGTCAACAATCATTCTCTGATGGCAAAAGTTACTCCAGATCATCACTGCCCTTAATCACTGCTGTAAGAAACCACAGGTCCTGGGAAGGAATCGCACCACTCAGTCCACACTTTGGCATTCTCGGACACACCCCACCTTTATCCCTTTAGCTACCATCAGTATCAGGATCGCTGAATGCAGTAATGCAATTAGGAACAACTGCTTCCTTCACTGCGTCAACGATGGCTCTGGGAAAGAATTCTTGCTGCTCTTACTTGATGGTCTGATGAGTCCACAGGATGAAAGAGCAAGGAAATTAGTTCTTAGAGACCATGAAAACTCACTCCCACTGACTCTGCAGACAAAACACAGAGGGGAAACGTCCTGTGCATGACCAGTGTGGTAAAGTTCCGCATACTTCTCTGTATCTACAGACTGGGGGTGACAGTGGCCTAGGGTCATCCAGGTCACTTTTCCACGTGAAGCAATGACATGGGACTCACTCACAAACCCTTACCCCAAAGTAGATTTATTAAGTTCTGGCTGGGTGTGGTGGCTTACACCTGTAATCCCAGCATATTGGGAGGCCAATGTGGGCAGATCACTTGAGGTCAGTTTGAGACCAGCCTGACCAACATGATGAAACCCCATCATGTCTACTTAAAAAATACAAAAATAAGCCAGCTGTGGTGGCAGGCACCTGTAATACCAGTTACTCAGAGGCTGAAGCAAGAGAATCACTTGAAATTGGAAGGCGGAGGTTGCAGTGAGCCAAGATTGCCCCACTGCACTCCAGCCTGGGTGACAGAGTTAGACCCCATCTGAAAAAAAATAAAAAATAAAAAGGCTTATTAAGTTCTTTAGTTCACTCTGTGAACAAGTGCTGACTCTGAGCTGGGCAATGAGCTCTAGGAACACTGGAGGGAGCGTGACAGATGTAGTTCCTGCCCCATGGAGTGGTGGGTGAGGGGAGAACAGGAAACAGACAGTTGGTTATTCACAGTGAGGGAGCTGTGAATAACCAAGCACCAGGAGCACAGGGGCTCAAGTGCCCAGTGGGCCAGGCAGAACTCAGTGGGGGCAAAGGGGCATGATGGGTGCAGGGTAACCAGACTGGGCGCTGTGATGTGCATGCATAGGTGCAGAACCTCATGGTGGCAGGGCCAGGACTTCTTCGCTTCAGTAACCTGGAGAACGTTGGCAGATAGATCAGAAATGGTGATTGGAATATGATGCCCCATATACTGTGGGGTCTGCTGCTTAGTAGAAGGGATTGCTGTAGAGAAATGTGCATTCCCTTTCTCCTGACCCTCGACACCCAGTCATTGAGAATCTTAATGTCAGTAAAGCCACATTCCTTCTAAAAGATGTTTGGGCCCCGTGTGCTGTCAGAGAAGCTTCTTGTTTTTAGAGTCTCCTCTCTTTTGGCTTGTTCATTATAAAATCCCTGGATTCAGGATGCATTTCAGTTCCCCAATGGAGGCTGCATGGAGTTGCATTCTAGTTGTTCACCGAGAATAAACTCACTCACTTCATTCATCTTCTCTTTATCATGAGTCTTCCCAGCCTCAGGATCAGAAGACGTGTTGGGAATTGGTAGGCCGGCATGCGTGCCTCACCAGTGCCCCAAAGAGGGGCAGCAACCCCTGCCCTGAATTTTTCCAGCACAGAGAAACTAGACAGAAGCAGGACCTCAGTCTGAAGTGCCCCAACATCTAGTAACTTATGAACTTAATAACCACATGTCACAGGTGACTGCTAGACACAGGTGATGGTGAACCATGATGACAATGACAACTGAGGACCTTCATGGGGGAAGTTGGCTTAGAAAGACACTAGCCCTCATCCTAAGAGACAGGTCAATCTGTAGAACAGCCCTTTCTTCAAAATTTGGGAAAGCAGTTGAAACAGGCACAAACGTGAGACTCAATTTAGGGTCAGCACATGCTGGAGCCTCCTTTTCTACTTCCAGCTGACTTTGCTGATATCTTAACACCTGTGTGTGATGGAGGGGAGTGGACTTTTGCTTTGCTTTTTTTCCCCCTTTTGCTCTTTCTGTTCCTCCTGGGGACAGTCTAAGTGACCTGGACAGGAAAGTAGACCCCATTGTTTTTTTCCAGCTCCCCCCGGCCCCATGCCCACACTTACTCCTGTTCTCTTCCATGAGAATGCACTTGTTGTCTTTCACCAGCACAAGCACTAACTGTAGAGACAGGAAGCTGCAGCCACATCACAGTGTTATAAAATCACCAAGACTCCTCCAAAGAGGTGAGGGGCCTAGCCCAACACAGAAAACATTACAGATAGGACTATTTTCTGCCACTTTTTCCCCCAAAAAGAAAGATGATAACATTATAAGAAGTCTGTAAAAGAATAAAAAAGTGCCGGGCACGATGGCTCACGCCTATAATCCCAGCACTTTGAGAGGCCGAGGCGGGTGGATCAC